AATAGACAAAAAATAGTAAAGGCAGAGAATTTAAAAAGGAAGAAAGCGAAACAAGACACTGAAATGCGAAGAAGAAACATGAATTAATTCAAATACTTCAATTCATGCCGGAATGTGGTTAAAATCTGGCATTGCTAGAATCTACCATTGAGAATTTGAGTGACAGTGCCACTTTCTTCTAAGGGTATAATGAGAAAGTAAAAAACAAAAAATTCACTTTCTTAAAAATGTAAAATCAAACCATGAACTTTATATTTAGAACCGGAGGAAGTGCATTTGGGCGGGAAGTGCAGCGCTAGCTGGCCTAATCTGTATACGAGAATTTGTCTATTGAATATTCTAGAATTCACATTAACAATTCCAAAGCATCTGGTAATTATACGGTGCATTGGATGGTGTTCTTAATCTACTTTTTGGACATCTCGGCTCTCGCTATCTATTAATGAAGCCTGGGAAGTAGTATCTGAGTTTTGATTTTTGTCTACTTGAGAAATTGAAAGATCGAGGAAGAGCAGCTACCCAGGTAATGAAAAGGCACACCACCTTCAATCATGCAACCACACCATGTCTATAAAACCAACTTCAACTAAGAATAATTCCATCCAATGTTGTGCGGCTCAACCATCAATTGCATCAAAGCGCAACTCTTCCGCCATCTTCTTCTACACCCATGTCCAGGTTTCCATTTATACGTAGTATGATTGAATATATAGTAGTTTCAATTCTATATTAGAGAATTTTGCTCTCTTTATCGATTTTTTTTTATTCTGCATAATGTTGTTTGATGAAATGCTTACATGATATTGAAAAACAGAATTTTAATTGCATTTGCAGTATACTATAAAGTGAACTATATATTCAATATATTACTATATTCTTGCCGATTCTTTATTACAGAGTGTATTCTTGCTGATTCTTTTATCTCCATATTACTATATTTTTGCTGTTTGTTTTATCTTTATATTACTATATTCTTGCAGATTGTACAGGTCATCTCAAACTCTTAGTCTGCTTATCCATATGGCGTTGTGAATCCATCATTTGAACATAAGTTCTGCTTATTCATAGGTGAAATTGTGAGTCTAAAAATGGTTACTTGAAGAGATTAAAACAATCAAGAATGAACTAATACAAGTACAATCTTTAGTACTTGACAGTTTGAGGTAGTGCAAGCTGTTTTTACACTGGTGGGATAAAGGGGTAGGCTTTAATGTCCTAAATTTTGTTAGTATAGAGCAACATGAAAATAGAACATGGATTAATGTTCATTTTAAATGAATTGAGAAGTTAAACTTATATTGTATCCTATGGAATAAGATGTTTAGGTGATCTTTCTTTCTTTTTCTGAATAACATTAGTCCATGTTTGGCTGTTTGCATTCCTATATGGTAATTCTAAAATTTTAAGCTTTAGCATTCATGCTAAAGCTTTTTATTTTTCTTAGTTTTAATCTTTGAGTGTGAATTGAATGTCTGGTTTTATTTTCTGTGAGTAGGGAGTGTTAGCTAAGTGTGAAAAGCTATGTGTAAAATTCTTTGCTCTTGCAATGACAAGTTAGTGCATGTGATCTTGCTTCATTTGTCCTCTGTTCTCGGTGCTTTCTAATTTTTTACTCCTATTTTTGTATAACTCACTTTGAATTTTAGTTTTTTTAAGGGAGATATCTTCTCGAAAGAGGCAATATGTTGCCTTGAGGTTGGCCCTGGTGGTTTTTTTTCACTGGTGACAATTTGGGCAAGCAAGAGTGAAAACTAAAATGATTTATTAAATAATCAAATAACTATACCATCATTACCATGTACTCAAACCTATATTATACTATATAAAAACGCAATAGTCCAAGGTCATTTAGGCTGGAAGTGCAGCACGCAATAGTCTAAGGTCATTTAGGCGGGAAGTGCACTCACTGGCTGAATCTGTTTCCAGAATTAATTTATTATTTGTCTACATAAATATTCAAGAACTCACTTCAGCAATTCCGAAGCATCTAATTAAAAAATGGTGCATTGAATTGGATGGTGTTAATCTATTGTTTGGACTTCTCGCTATTTCTTAAACTATTTAACAGCCTTGAAAGTTGTAACTGAGTTTTGCATACTCGAGAAGTTGAAAGAACGAGGAAGAGCTGCTAGCCCGGGTAGTGAAAAGGCACTCCATCTTCATACATATAGTCACATCATGTGTATAAAACCCACTTCAACCCAGCAAAATGGGATGAACCTCTATCGCGTGGCTCAACCCATCAAATCGCAGCTCTTATGCATGTTTTCTGGTAATGATCTTTCTCTCATCCCTGATGATTTAAATTTATGGTTTTAATTTGGCGAGTAGATGGTTCATTGCAATTTAAATTAACTGATAGGTATAGAAATTGGGACTATTTCCAGTTTGGCCTACCTTCTTCATTTAGTAGCTTTTATATATGTAATAATGAGTAAGCCTCTGATAAATGGGATTTTAATATGCTCTGGTGCTCATTGAGATTTAAATGCACTGAAAGGATCTAGATGCTCATCTCAGCATCAATTTCATCTCTTAACATAGGAGTAATTTGATGATCTTGGAGTGGGTAGTATACATGGTCTCTAATATTCTATTACCCAGTCTTTCTTAATTAAAAGCTCCCTCACCTGATGGAATGTATAGCTATTTGGAACGGTCTATACTTTATTGGAACCATTTTATTCTTACTTTTGAGATGTTGATATTTTCATTTGTTGTTAGACTACTTGGTTTAATTTTTAAATATCGTAAAATTTAGAGCTAATTTTATTAACTTACTGCATTTCATTCACTTTGACCATTATAGGTTTGTTTTGGTGGTTTGACCATTAAGCTCATCTGTAAGCTTTTTGTGTTGGAGTGGCCGGTACCAGCAAGTACCAAAAGTTGATGTTGATTTGTTGGCTTGAATGTGGAGGTGGGTGCAGGCCAAATGGCTAATGGGTTGGACTAATGATAGTTCCTTAGCATTTTGCATCGGGCAAATGTTGATACTATGGCTGCATTTCTTTTTTGGTGGGTGAGCAGAAATGCCATCTCTATTTCCTGCATTTTGTAGCGTTTTACGTTTAATGCTTATTGGCGTTTTGGCTCAAACGCTGATAGTGAAACATAGCCTACATGCCATCTTATTTGGCGATGATTCAAAAATATTTTTTAGTTGACTTTTGTTATAGTTTGGACATTAATTTTATTATATATTGTGTTGTACAGTTGCACCATTTTTATTTTATTATTCTCATTGATTCTTTATTGGCCAAATTCTAAATGTAGTGTACTTTTACATAAATTTTGAATATTATGCTCAAGGACAATAAATGTATTTGAATATTCTTCCTTTAAGTGAAATCATCACCGTTTTGAATAAGTGGGTTTCACCCCATCCTTAAGGGCTTCGGGCTTCCCAGCACATGAGCACACTGGTCAAAATGTTAATCGAAAGGATGTAAATTACACTTTAATCACAAACTGATTTAGGTGAAACATTGCCCTATGTAGTTGCATGGGATCTATGCATTTTGCATATCAACCCCATCGTCACCTATACTTTAGAAATGTTTTGACAGGTATATACACAAGTGAACATGTAGTGTTTCCAAGAATATTGAACCCTATTAGAGATTACTTTTCAAGTTCCAAAGAAGACAATTTTCTTTTATTGACTTATGCAATTAATAAAAATCAATAATAAACATTATCTAACGTTGAATTTAAATTATAACAAAACGTTGAATTGAAAAATAAATCTCAGTTATCGTCAATTATATGTTACTCTTTCACGTATTATTGATTGCTTTTTTTATATACAGGTGTAAATTCAAATTTGGAAAACTTTTAAATTCTTTTTCTTAGATTGAATTTACCCTTTTCTATTAGATATGCACCAATTTAATTACTTTGTGAAAAATGTCCCGTGCATCGCACGGGTACTACACTAGTAGTGATCAATAAGACAATAACGAGTGTTGAGTTTAAATTAGCCTAAAGGTCATACATTATTTTGCATATTTAGACATCCATATAAATCTCATGTCTTTATATCTATTCTTATTGTATTTTATTCTATTTTATTTTCAACTGATTCTTGTTCCAAAGATGTGCAAGCTGATACTACTGATAGAGGAGGGCGTGTTTCACGGACGGGTAGCACTTCAAGGAGGGGGGTAGTGTCAAGTAGCAGGCCAAGCTCGTCGGGCGAGCCCAACATTGAGACCCGTACTGGACGGCTGGGGTCCAACAGCGGGCGGCTAACCTCCTCTACCCATAGATTGCATCATCATCCCACTGTCGAGTCCAAGTCATCATCTTTCACCCGAACCGGTAACACTTCTAGAGGCGGTGGGCGTGATGACACCCTCCGAAGCTTTGAGCTTCTTACCATCGGCACTGGGCGAAGGAAATAAACCCGAACAAACTTTTTACTGGGCAGACGGGTACCCGAGTTGATTTTCAAGGGAATCAGTGTATATCTGAAATGGGTCACTCCATATTCCAAGAGCCATCAACCATTTATCTTCTTCCCATATAATTCATTCCTTCATTGTAAAATCTACCAGGAATAGGGTTAAAATGTCAGCCTCCAGGAAATCGAAGTAAAATCTGTGTTTAAAGAGAACAATTTTTGAAGTCTCATTGTTCTACTACAGAAGTATTTCTTATATGTCATTACCCCTATTTATTGTATTTGCCTAATGCTGGAAACTACTAAATTTCAAACTTTTCACCTTTTGGACCCAAAAAAAAAACTTGGGTAAGTTGGGTTAAATTAGCTTCACCACTAAAATGACCCATTCATCATTTTTTGATTTTTGAAAAATGGAATGCCGGGTGCCTAGTTCCCAGAAAACCCAGTCCATTATTATTGACATTACAACATCAGAATATATAACTTGACAAGAATTTTGGGCTTTTAGCGCATTGAACACAGAGGAATAGAATGCTAATGCTTATAAGTTATAATTTATCTAACAAATCACACCTGCAAGATATTAGAGGAAGTCATACTAAACAACTCATTAATGCATAAATAAGCTGCAAAAAAAAGAAAATGTAACAAATAAAAATAAGTAATAGCTATATACCCATGATTCCATGAACCCATCCATAACAAGTTGCAAGATATTGGAGGAAATCATACACTACAACAATTAATTAATAAGCTGCAAAAAAGATAATGTAACAAATAAAAAGAATAAGTAATATCTCTATATCCATCCATAACAAGTTCATCACAGAGAGGAAGTGTGTCTTTCTACTTTTTTGTCTTCAATATCAGCTTTTCACCTTTCTTTGTCGCCTTATTTAGAGAGGGCGGTTGGATTTGCTTTGACTTCATTTTAATTGATTTGACTAGAGAGGAGAGTTCATGCTTCTCTTTTCTCGAAGGAAACTCTTCTGCTCTGCCTTCCTCCTTTCCCTTGACGTTTTCTGGGGCGGTCTTGTGTTGCTTCTCAGACATCTGCCTTACATAGATTGCACTCCTGTAAACATCAAACCGTCGAAAAGAAACCATGTCATAAGCGAAATGTAATATTTTACGCCAGATGCACATTCATCAAACCTTCTAAAGAATGAAATAATGAGATTGAAATTTTAAAAACCGTGAACATAGATTATTTTCTCAATTTCACATCAGATACGGCCAAATACTCAAACATGACCCCGATTGACCTTGGGCATGTCATGCATGATGAACATCAAACACATGCATGATGCATGAAGAAAGTTATGATGAAGACGCCTCGTGGGCCATACTTATAGACAATGTCATTCACAGAAGACAGTAGAGCGCATCACTGAGGGCTGCCTTGTGGTCTAAGCAAAGCAGTCCTAATTCATTTATTCTTCTTATTTCTTGCTTTCAGTTTTAGTCAGATTAGAAGTCTACCAGATCTGAGATTTCATTTGTTACATTGGGACTCTTATGATGGCTACATGAGGGTCATCATTAGTATTGAATAAAGTACTTTAGGAATAATTAGTTCTTGAGAGTCTTGACTAGGTAAGGAGCCAAAATAATTACAATAAATCCTTGTTATTTTTGTTTTCCTCTCTCTGCTGATCATAGATAAAAAAATCACCTATTTATCTGCCCTAGTTCACTTTCGAACCTTGGATAAAATCTTGTCATGATAAGACTCTTAACAAGTTCTAACTTCTAAGCCATGATAAGACTAGTAGCAGCAGCAATAGAAAACATTACAAGTCCAAACAGCTTCGGCCTAAACCTTATCAAAAGTTTATATTAATAATGTATATTTTTTCGTTACAGCTAGTTGATTTATCATCCGTTAGCATGTTTTTCAAGACACATGCAAACACAGGACGTTTAAAGGCAACCGAGAATCTTTTGAAGCTAAAAGATCATTATTGGATTACTTTGGGTTTAAATTAGACCATTGAAGGGTTCAAGGACAATATGGATTTACTTTGAATGGCCAAATCCATTCTTTTCAGGTATTTGCCCTATAAAACATCATGAGCTGTTGGTGAATTGGGACTTGAGAGTCAGACATGTACATAAAATGAAGCATAACAGGGATCTTAACTACATTATGTTTTAGTTGAGTCATGTGATACGGTCAAACGTGAGAAACTATACCTCTTGAACTGCGGATCAGTGGGATCCAAAGCAAATAGTGGTGAAGTGAACAAACTGGAAAACCGAGGATCCTCATAGTCCATATTTGGTATCTTATCCTCATCAATAATTTCTATTCCTTTTCTATCCTTGTTCTTGCGTTTCTTCATATTATAGCCCTTCAACTTGGTACCTCCTCCATTTTCATCCGTCAACAACAACTCAAGCTCTGCTCTACCTGCTATATCTTCTTGGGCGGTTCCTTGATCCGGTTTCACTTTCCCGGCACGTTTACCTTTCCTGTCCTTATTTCCAATAGCCACCGGTTCCTCAACAAAAAAGTCATCGGGTTCTTCTAAATGATTTTTTTGTTCATCATAATCACTGTAACTGCTTTCATCATCTGATGAATCCTTTGATCTGTTTTTCCTGGCTTTCTTTTTTTCTTTTCGCTTTCTAAGATAGGCTTCCCAAACAGATTCAGATTGTTTGTCCTTCTTTTCAAGAATACGTTTGCTTAAATCTTCCAATCCTGTGTTGAAAGTGACTTCCATGTCCTCTTGATCGTCATCGTCATCATCCTTGTCACTGTTATCAGAACAGTCTCCAGAATGAAGTAATGAACGATACATTTCCTGTTTTTTATGTTTTTTTGTGGTTCTATTTCCAGAGTCTTCTTCATTGCCCTCATCATCATCATCAGTTTCATCACTATCATCAGGTGCCAAATATTCCTTCAGCTCCAGTTCTGCAAGCTGGCAGTGTAATGCAATGTTAGCAGTTATCCGAAACACCAAATCATAATCCCACAAAAATAACGGTGACAAGAGAAGCCGATTGTTTAATGTCGTCATTTGCATCCAACTGTAAAGCCAACCAGTCCATCCCTTTTAAATGTGATAATAATGCACGGGATCCAGTTCATCTATATAAGGCGATCCATCTACTTTTTTTTGTTGATTTAATAGATTAAATTAAAAACATTTTATATCCTTCGGCTTCATTGAACTATCCACATTTATTATTTGCTTATTACATTTGTCTGTCATTATACTTCTGCTAGTAGCTTAACAATTAATTCATTACATGCATAGCTCAGTTATCTACACATGAAAACCAATGAGAATGGATGGGTTGGATAACTATCTGTAAAACAATATTAATGGATGGATTAGTTGGATTTTATTTAATAGACTATGGATGGATTGGATTTTTTATGAATATTTGATGCATCATAAGTGGTATAGTGTATTGTTTTAATAAAGCCATTGCAATCCAACTAAAAACTTTTACAGTCATCCATCACCTCCTCTAAGAAATGAACAACCTGAGAAAATAGGTCCATAACTATGGAACTACATTCATGCAACTCTGTAGTACTAAGAGCCCGTAAATTTTGGTTTTGCACGCTAAATTGTATAATAATCAAAATAAGGACGGAATTACTTTTCTGGCTAAATTGTCAACATTGTTGAACATGACTGTTTTAGTTATTTTTCATATAATTCATTCTTTATTTTATTAGCAAAATACATTTTAAAATTTTATTAGTAAAATACATTTTAAATATAATTTTTTCAAAGATCAACAAAATTCAGCCCCTTTAGCAAGATTTTCACATATTTCAGCGGCTTTAGACGATTCAACCAATTTTGTGTTACGAATTGGGCTCTTAGGCTTATTGAACTTCGTAGAAAACATCATTAAGAGTCCAAATGAACAGCCAAGAAGCTGAAAAATTAGAACTGCTGTAATTAACACTAACTTCATTTTGAAATATACCAAAAGGATAGCAGATCGAGATTAAAAAGAGTGGCTGAACTACCGAATTGATAAAAACAAAGAGGGTTGTTTAACAAATTGGTAAAAGAACCCCAGCGACATATTGATAGTTTAAAAACACTCCAGCATCATATGGCTAATTTTATACCAACTTATTAAAAAAGAGCATATGACATTGATATGAAGAGATCCCGCACTATATATGCACACAGATTGAGAATTGGAGAGGGGCAAAAATAATGTGATGAAAACTGATAATTAGATGAGTGTCATGGTTATTCTCTTTTCTTGTAGGCCATAATGATGTAATGACAAATTAAGCAGTAATAAAATGAGGGTGAACCGTTTCGCAAAATATGCCTAAAGTTGCATTCAAAGTGATCCGATCACAAAGATTCTGCCCAATACAGAGTGATTAAAATCACTCAGGAGCTTTTCAAAATTATCAATATGTTGGTGAAGCTTTTGTTTTTTACCAAATTGTCAAACGGTCATCTTTTTTTTGCCAATTTGGAATAAAGCCTTTGTTAGCCAATCCCAAAATCTTTTGGGAATAAGGCTTGGATGATGCTGTTGTGGAAATTTTGCTCAAAAAGAGAAAAGAGACAAACCTGATCAGCGTTGAACTTCCACTTCAAGGTCCTCGTACGCTGTGGCTCATCCTCATCCCATGTAAGTTCAATATTACTGTGTTGAAGTGCTCGAGTATGAAAATCTAAACCTTCATAGTTAGCTGGTGCCTAAGCCGAGCATAAATTACAAAAGATTAATACGATATGTTTGATACTATGTTTTAATACAATTGCCCATCAACATTTGTAATGAAAAGCACAAATCTTGATTTTTTTAACAATTTATCAAGAGTTTCTTATTCAATAATCCCTCAATCCATAAAATCAGAGTCACATTTAAGTAAGGTTTTTATTTTTATTTTTATTTTTATTTTGAGTCAACACAAACAAGAGAAAGCTTTTACAAGCCATGAATGGCCACTTATATACCTCTAAGACTTAGAGCCCGTTTGGTAGCACGAAAATCGGCTGTTTTGGCTGATTCTGCTGAAATTTATGAAATTCTGGCTGAAGTGGCTGTTTTGGCTGATTCTGCTGATTCAAGAAAAAAATATTTTAAAAATATATTTTATTAATAAATTATAGAAAAAATTACATGTAAAAATAGCTAAAATAGTCCTCTACAGTAACTTCAGCCAATACAGCCAGAAAAGTAACTCCAACCTTACTTTTTCTGCTTATTACACAATTCAGCACACAAAAGTAAAAGTTACGTGTTTGGTGAAAAAGCTGGCTGATAAGCCTGATAAGCCGAAAAAAGAGGTCTCCAAACGGGCTCTTATTTCCAAGAGAAAGCTTTTACAAGCCATGAATGGCCACTTATATACCTCTAAGACTTATTTCCAAGAGAAAGCTTTTACAAGCCATGAATGGCCACTTATATACCTCTAAGACTTTTTTCCAAGATAGTTTGGAGTAATTGACCAAAAGCATTTTCTACTTGGCTTTACAGGATCTTACTTAAAACCCGAGGTTGACTAATAATAGCATCCTGTTTTTTTTGGGAGGGGGGAGAAATAACAGTCTAAAGTCTTAACACAAGTATAAGAATTTAGAGCAGTGTATACATTTCTCTTATGTGGTTATGCATGCACTGTAAACACTTCTCTTCTGCGGTTACCTCTATCGCAACATCACGTGGCTCATGTTTAAATTCCATAGAATCAGGAATAAACCTCAAATCCAATTTATTCGATGTCCTTTCAAATTCAACCCCATCACAGTTTTGGTAAAGGTAATCAGCTGTAGCAATTGAATCACAGTCCACTACAGCACAATAATACCTGCACATATAACAGAAACGTGTCAGTGTATGCTAAGATAATTATATACAAAGTAAGATACAATAAATTGATAAAAAATAAAAAGAACCAAGTTGGAGACTTCTTTTAATCCTCATATCATGTGGGGTAGTGACATCCTATACAACAACATCCAAGCCTTATTCCCAAACAACTTTTAGAAAAACAGTGACATCCTATGAGAAAAAAAAAGGAAAGAGACTAATTGTAGCTTAGACATCATACACTACTCAATCTGAGTTATCTGACTAGCTATATAAGCTCAGTTTGAAAGACAATCAATCACCTGAGCCGGCTTAATTCATATTTACGCAACTTCTCATTTTCAATTTCATCATCGTCCTCATCATCACTCCTCTTGCTATTTTCATCTTCATCAAACAGACCAACTGGACCATGCAGTGCCTCTTCTTCCATGCGCTTTAGTCCAAACTCAGTTGGATAGACAGCGACAGACTTAATGAGGTCTCCTTTTGGGAGAAATGAACTCAGCAGCACATATATGTCTACTGCCTGTAGAGCATATTAACCAGACCGCATAAACATAATTATGAGCATAAATGGAAATAGATAGCAATACTACCAGACAACAAGGATGAATATGTGATCCTTTTAACACTATACAGGACGTTTATTGAAATATACTCCGTATCATATGATTTATAGAAAAATCATCTATGGAGCAATGCATACCATGAATTCTAAAAAATCTCTATACCATCGTATTCTCCATATCTATCTATTTATATATATTAAGAAATTTATATATATTAAGAAAATGATTCTTGCAGGAGAAGCTCCCGCCAAAACCATTCAAAGTAGATCGTGCAGTGCTGAAGCACGGAAGAAAAAGTACGGCAACTACATTGATAAAAATCATTGGCTAACAAATACTGGAATTATCCAGAATGCTTGAGAAGGGAAAACGGCACATTGAAATTGTATATCTATTAATATTACACATGGGAAAATGAAAAGAAAAATATTGTTTCCAAATAGATATAACTTAACCCTTTCATTAGGTCCCTATATATCGTAGCTCAGTGGCTGTATCATCCGTGTGCAAACATAACTTAGAAAGTTGCCCTTATATAGCTTTGTACTACCATAAACTTTTAGTCAGTGAGTAAGGAAATTTGCCTTTATATAGCTTTGTACTACCATAAAGAAGAATATGACACCCATTTGACTCATTTAGAGGTCTTTGCTTATACTTTCTCGATAGTAGGATCAAACAGAGGAGAGTGGGGGATTGACGAAGACGAGCTGATTTTAAAATGGATTGATTTGGGCTGATGTTATCACGACGAGAAGGAGAAAGTGAGAGAGAGAGAGCAGCGGCCAGCGGGGAAGATGTGTTCCAGAGCTGCGGCTGAAAAGAAGCAAGGGGTAGAGATGCTAAGAAGATGAAGGTTTCACCAAAATCCTACTACGTAGTATTAGATACATAGTCTTTTGTTTGCATACCCCGTTAATAGTGGGCTAAATTGTTTGTTTGACTGCATTGAGTTTTGGGTTACTAATTTCTAGATCAAGATAACTTTTACAAGGTTTAAGTTCAATTTGTCTTTATATATGTGTATATATACTTCGTATATCCTCTCAAATCTTTACAGAGTTTACCATATGTGGTCAACACATTATTATACTCCGTAAGTAGTGAAAAATTGTATTTATCATTATAAATTTAAAATCCTGAAAAGTTGTTTGAGTATTTGTTTTTATGATTATGTATAAATTCGGTTATTAATTGTAGTGATATTATATGGCTTGAAATTGCAAAAGCTCAATATAAACTCACGTAAAAAAGAGTTTTATGATATGGACTGAATGTCAAATAAACATATACTCGATTACTCGGTATATTCTTAGAAAGGAAGACCAAAGTTGCACCCTAGCTCTGTATTAATTTTTTAATTTTATTTTATATGTTGGACATTCTTTATATAAAATTTTTAGATGATCAAGCCATGTATACGGCTAAAAAATAAATATATGCAACTTAAGGAACATAACAGACTCTAAACATAACTTAATGTCGAACTAAAATAAAGAACACAGACTCTAAACATAACTTAATTATACTTTTATACACCTGTTTTTCGCCAAGGATAAAAAATTGAAAGCCAATTAATCATAAATAGTCTCTGCATGCACCGATTAATGTGAAAAGAAATGACACACTATTTCACAATTTTAGATAAAATCAAAAGTTAAGATACCTTTAATGCAACTTTGGCACATATCTCTCTTCATCTATTTGAAGTCGTTTAAGTTATCAAGCTTGTACAATTCAACTTCAGATATATTTGGAAAGTAAACGTTCAAAAACACCAAATATAAAAGAGAGGAATATAAAAAATGCAAGATCCTTCTTTGCCAACCCCTAAGAGTCTAACAGTACAATGTTATGGGCATAACAATGTCCAATTAGGTAGGTATTTCAGCAAAGTCAAAAGACAGGTTGAGCAGGTCTTTACATTATTTAAAAAGAACAAAAACCTGAGAGTGAGCAACCAAACTAGTAAATCACTATATGGTTCATCCTCAGTTACATACGGAGTATAATAATACAATTCAAGTGAGCAATCATAAATTCATACACGCAATTGGAAGAATTGAAATTTCCATAACACACCTTTACTCGACCCCAATCCATACCAACAACTGCTAGTCTATGAGTTTCCTTCTCAATTGTTTGTATGGTTTCTTCCTGTAAACCATTTCAATAAAGCAAAAGCATTGTTAATTTTCAAGTTGGCAGCAGAAACCATAAAGCCAAATATTTACATTCTCTACCTGCACAAAGGTATCTTCTTCGTCTAGATTAATCTCATTCTCTTCATCAGAATCCGTAGAACTTGTTGAAGAGGAATCATCACTAGGACACTCTTCATCTTCGTTTTCGGACTCTGTAGCACCCAACTTACTTATCAAATTTCCCTTCTCCAACTCCCCGCTCCCACTATCATCACCGCTGCTGCTTTGTCCTGCTTCACTGCAACTTTCTTCCTCGTCCTCTTCTTTGACATCAACATTTTTGCTCGTCAACTCCTCACCTCGTCCAATCGCTTCTTTTCCTTCTTCCTCGAGATGGTAGTAGTGTTTCATGAGATTTTGCGAAGAGTCTTTCTTGGGTTTGCCTCTCTTATCAATCTTTGCCTTCGTTGACGCGAAGTTCTTATCTGTGAAAATATGGCTGAAGCGGGAATCGAGCACCACCTTGGATTTGCGCTTTGGAGCTTTCCGGAACCTAGGATCCGTGTGAATGGATGCGAACCGAGCATCTGTGATGGTGTTGCTTACATTTTGACGACTTCCGCGGCCGAATGCGGTGGTACCGGCACCGCCGTCCGGCTTACCCAACTTGGTAACACCCTTGCTCTTTCTATTCTTTGATCCCATGAGACGTGAAGCTAAGCTGAAATTCGTTCACTGCAAGGACAGGCTTCTAAACTACAGCTTCTCTGTTCAAACACGTGGTGATAAACCCTACTGCGTATAATTTTAGACGAACAATGGCGGTAAATTGGGCGGGATGCTATCCTGGGTAAAGCCCAAGTATGTAAATTGGTATCTAGTCATCCGAGATCCATTTCTGGCCCAAGAAAAATCTAGATGCTTAATAGGAGACTACAACCTTTGTAATTGGGGTGTTTCTATTGACAGCCCCTTTATTTCTTCCCACAGCCACCAAATTAATGAATTTCCTCATCCACCAAATTAATTGAACTTTTTGGGCTGCTGTGGATTTTGGTTGATCGTCTGGTAATTTCTTTCCACCGCTGGTCACAGATGGACTTGCTGTTGTCGGCTTCTAAATCTATCCATCAATATCGTATCCTTTTCTACATCTATGCAACCAAAATCAATCCCCAACTTTCTTATTCAGTAATGCACAATCGGCACCAACAAAGCAATAAGCTAGTAATTTAACACGAAGCCATCAACCCCAACTTTCTTATTCCTTGAATCTAAGCAACCAAATCAATCCCAACTTTAAAGAATATAGTTCTTATTTTATTACTGCATAGTAAAAGAACTCTGTAATATCCAAATTAAATGGAAATTTATTTTGCTCTAATAAAAGCATTTTTTCGTAATAAAGGCATGTATTTATAAATTAACTAATTATCACAAGTTCAAAATACAAACCTAGATGGGGAATTAGAAAAATCAAAATATCTTTCTGGATTCAGATTTACTTCTCAATGATGAAATGGCAGAACCGTATATGCTAGAGAGAATTCCAATAAAAAGAATTTCACCAATTAAGGTATTCATTTATATTTTGTATGTGTCTGCAATTTAGAGGTGTGGCCAACACATTACACTTTTGCGGAATCCCCAACACATGAGGCATTGATTGAGAGTCGGAGAATTTAGAAAGCTCTCCAAACATCTGTATCTCTTAAGAAGTTTTCATCTGGTAATAAGTGTGTCAATCAACGTGAAATAGTGAAGATGGTCGATAGGTTAGTGTAAGGGCAAAATAGAGATGTTTAAGTTTGCGTTTCGATGGGGGCTGCATATAGTAATTTTGTGTGTGTGTATAGAATTACCCTTGTAATTGTGTATCTTATTAATTGGGCCCATATGGGTGGGGATGGGGGTGAGGGAACTAGACAAGTGCATTTTATTAAGAAAGATTAGAGTTTGCTATCATTTATCAAATCAAAGTTTGAAGAGTAATACAATTGGAAGGATTAATGATCCAAACACGAGAAAAATTTAATCTAGCAAATTTAATATCCAAAATCAATATCCAAAAAGAGCTCATTTCATCCGATTAGGTGCTTCTCGAATGCATAACATCGCAGCTTCATCTCAAGTATTAGAAACTTCTACCTAAAAGGATCCCCTCCGAGTCACGAACCACCCATCCGGGCCCTCGTTGTTCACCTCAAACTAACGCATCCACATTAACTTAGACTCTCTCACTTCATAGTGAAAGGCTTGCTGTTGAGAACTCGATTAAACTTAGAGCTCAAACCAAGTCGATTTCCATCATTTGCAAGAATGTTGGAATATGGTTTTTTGACAAAAATGAAACTTATTTAGTTATGATAAAAGTAACAATAGATAAACAATATAATAGTTCGATGCTACATTAGGATTAGACATAGTTTTATGGCCTCCAAGGACCAAACAAAATCGCTAATCTTGTAACTATGTAGGGTAAATTAACAACAATGTTGAACTTGATACTCAAAAGGTAATTGAAATAAAATAAATTGCCAAACTATAAAGGACATAAATTAAATCATGAAATACCGCTTTCATAAGCAACCGGAAGGAGAATTGGTTTGATCAACAACCAACAAAGGAAACGTAGTCGAGCAGAATTTTTTTGAATCATCGATTTGACCACCCATCGAAAAGGAGATCCAGGTGAGCACTTTCTTCTTTTCCGAGCAAGGCGATGGTTCAAATGAAAGGCTTGATGTAGAGAACTCGATCGCACCTGGAGCTCAGACCGAGTCGGTTTCCATCATTTGTAAAAATGTTGCAATATGGTTTTTTGAAAAAAAAAGAAAGCTTATTTATTTATGATAAAAGTAACGAGAGATAAACCAATTCAATAGCTCGAGGCTATACTGGGATAAGACATAGAATTGGATGGCCTTCAAGGATCAAACAAAATCACTAACCCTGCAACTATGTAGGCCAATCTAACAACACTGTTGAACTTGATACTCAAAAAGTAATTGAAAGAAAATAAATCTCCCAAACTTGAAAGGAAACAAATTAAATCAACAATTTACTTTTGTCTCTCCTCCTTTGTTGGGTTGACTAGCAACCAACAAAGGAAACTCAGTCGAGCATAAATTTTTTGAAGCATCGATTTGACCAGCCAACGGAAAGGAGATCCAGTTGAGCACTTTCTAGTTTCTTCTTCGAGCAAGACGGTGGTTCAGGTGAAGGGTGAGTAATTAAAGCCTCAGAATACTAAGGCTGAAAAAGCTATGCCAACCATGAACAACAAAACCTCACTGGATTGATTACACCGATGTAAAATACACATCCTGTAGCACCCCAAAAATTTGAGAGATATTCGGAATTGTGATCTACATCGTTTAGATAATTTCTAAGAAGTTTAACACGTTTGGTTTGGTGTTTGGGACCAAAGGGAGGCCTAAACCTGGAAAAAACTAAGCCAATTTCAGTGTTGGGGTGTCTGAGGGTCACACACGGTGTGCGCGGGACTTGCGCACAACGTGCGTGGCAGTGGAATTGGGTGGAGCCATTCTCAGTCACGCACGACGTGTGTGGGACTCGCGCACGACGTATGCGGAAGCTAGGCTACTGCCCGTCACACACGACGGTAGGCACGACGTGCGTAAGGTTTGCGCATCCGACTGAGTGTCATTTCATGCTGCACGCACGGTGTGCGCATGGCTTTTCAAGCCAATTCGACCCAAATTCGATATGTTAGTATAAATACACCCATTGTTTGAATTCTTTTCGTTCTTTAAACCCTAAAGTCGACTTTGTGAGATATTTTTCTTCAAGCTTTTCATTCTTAAACCATCAAAGAATATTTTTGTGGCCAAGAAAGTGCTAGTTCAATCAAATCTTCCGGTAAGTGCGTTTTAGCGATTTCTTCCTGTTTCTTCTTTTAATTCAAAATTTCTTTCCTAAGTTGTAACCCTACAACCCTATATATTCCTAGGAACGTGTGTATGACCTCTCAAGCTAGGATTCACGTTTAGATTTTGTTGCTTGCCTCGAGGTAAGGACTATGTCAACCAAAATTACTATTTTGCCCCTATTATGTATTAACTAGGGTTTGAGATATGATTTGCGTTTCTTTCTAAAATTTCATGAGTTTTTAGGATATTATATGATGGATATTATAATCTGTGATTTTCTGGGAATTTATGAACATGTGATATCTGGTGAATGTATCAAATCAGTTTGTTATGGTCAAAATCGTGATTTTGAGAAATATTAGTTATTTTGGATTGCAAATTGTGCAGATTGTTTTGGTATGAATTAAACTATGTTAAGAGATTCTACTCATGTGTTATTCTACAAATAAATTTTGGGTTTGGAATAACCCAATCGAATTGTTTTAATGGTGAAAGTAAATGCTATTTTTGGAAGTGATAGTTTGGGTTAAACCATCTTTATGAAAAGTGTTGTGATATCAAATCGTTCGGCAAATTATAATCAACAATTTCTAAATCGTAGTGATATTTTCATAAATAAGTAAAAAAATTTGCCACCACGAATAAATGCAATTTAGAGAGACAAAAGTAACTTGTGAAGGACTTAAAATTAAAATCTCATACCTATTATGGTAAACATCTTTTTAGAAGTGGACCACTCTCTATATACATAATGATTAGAACGTATTATAAGGTCTTACTTCCTATGGAATTAGACTCCCTGGCAACTATCTTCGTGATTACCTCAGTCTATGTTCGCGCAAAATCCGAAAATCGACCTCCTCTATTTAAGATTTGGCAAACAAGGCTTCAGTCGCATTTGTTCATTGTCTCAGAGAAGCGAATATAGTTTTTCATCCTCTGCCAAAACCGACTCCATCTTAAAATCTTTTTCAAGCTTTCATCCTTAAAAGATGATGTAAGAGGGGCCTTGATTACATATTCAATCGGGCTTCCCACATTCGTTTTCTCTGATTGTAATTTCTGTTTATTATTGTAATAAATTAGGTTAATGACTCACAACATTTACCGCACTCCCAAAGTGGTTCACCTTCCCATACACATACTCAAGGAGGATATATGATGTCATGGTACGAGAATGGTGATGTGAAAAAAAGAAATGATGTAGGTTGGTTGGGTAAGTGAATATTGTTGGAAAATTGTATTAAAATTGCATTAAAAGGTCATTTTCGAACAAATTTTTGAGTTGGGTCCCTTCCGATTTGGGTCAAGTTAGAGTGGATTCAGATTCATCTTTTTAAGGGGTTCAATTCGATATGTGGTGCACTCAAAACGGATAATGGGTGAATGAGAAGGTAAACTAAACGTAGAACTACCGTCGTTCAATGGACATTTCAATTTCTCCTTCGAATTGCAAGTGTTTCGAACGTTGGTTAACGTTTGGAAACTGTAAAACACGATTAATGCATGGTTGAATTGTGTGGTTAATGGCTTCTAACGTTCAATATCATAAAAACACGATAAATGTGTGTTTACATGGGCGATTTCACACAATAAGTGTGGTATTAGTGTGTCATTAATACAAAGGCTCCTCCTTCCCTATATATGTTTGGTAGAACCTTTTGGAAAGCTTCTTGAAACACTGAGCACACTGAAATGCAGTCACATACCCGTTGCACTGAAATGTGTCCCAAGCTCAATCCAGAAATGGCTAAGTCTCACACTATGCCTAAAGAAAAATGGGTGGAGAAGAGGGGAGCAAATGGTAAACAAGTTAAATTTACAGCTGCTGAGAAAGGAAAAGGCCTGATTACACATAAGGAGCAAAACACCATTATTACAAAGAAAAACAACAGTAAAGCATTAATAATAGTGGATCAACCTTCCTCATCTGCCCCCATTTCAAAGGTAGTCTCTATTGAGGAAGAGGGCACTGACACTGAGGAGGTATTCCATGAAGAACCGCCTGCACCGAAAAATGATAAGGTTCAAAGTACTCAGTTAGCATGTCCTGATGTATTAAACGTTGAGGAAATGAAGAAGCTTTTACAGATGGAAGTGAAGGGCATTAAGCATACTAAGAGAGTGGAAATGAATGATGATGTTGTTTTAAAGCACATGAAGCAACAAATGGAATATGATGCAGACCTGGTAGCCAAGGGGTACTCATCAGATGGTGGAACCCAAAAGATACTGGAACCTTTGCAATATTGGGAGTCTAATTGGAAGGAAATCTCTGATGTGGTTGATGTAATGGCCAAGCGCTTGGATGGTGAGGTGAAAAAAGAAATGATGTAGGTTGGTTGGGTAAGTGAATATTGTTGGAAAATTGTATTAAAATTGCATTAAAAGGTCATTTTCGGACAAATTTTTGAGTTGGGTCCCTTCCGATTTGGGTCGGGTTAGAGTGGATTCAGATCGATTTGGGTCGGGTTAGAGTGGATTCAGATTCATCTTTTTAAGGGGTTCAATTCGATATGTGGTACACTCAAAACGGATAATGGGTGAATGAGAAGGTAAACTAAATGTAGAACTACCGTCGGTCAATGGACATTTCAATTTCTCCTTTGAATTGCAAGTGTTTCGAACGTTGGTTAACGTTTGGAAACTGTAAAACACGATTAATGCATGGTTGAATTGTGTGGTTAATGGCTGTTGAAAATGACACTACTGTCAGTCCAATAGAAGAAGAATTCACATCAGTAAGGAGCAAGAGAAACAAAAGAAAAGATTTACCTGTTAATTCTCCCAGACTCACCAGAAATGCTGCAAAAAAGAAGGAAGAGAGTGTTGGGTCAGTTTTCAGTACACTGGCTACTCAAGATTTATCCAATCAATGCTTATGAATTGCTTGGTGTGGAATGCAAGAGGAATAGAGTCTGCTAGTGCTAGATTATGCTCAATAGTCACGCAACGGCAGATTCATATTTTAGCAGTAATAGAACCCATTGTTAATTGTTCCAAGATTGATTTCTATAAACATATCTTAGGTTATCCTAATGCTTTGTTTTCTTCTGTTAATAAAATTTGGGTCTTTTGGGACCCAGTGGTGGTGACCATTTCTGAGGTTAGTTGGCATGATCAGTATATTCACATGAAGATTAGGAAAGATAATTTTACTGGATGGTTTACTGTGGTGTATGGTAAGCATAGCCCTATGGTTAGAAACGAGCTCTGGAGTTCTCTAACAACTATATCTAATAGTATGGATGATCCCTGGCTAGTGGGAGGGGATTTCAATGCTATTTCTACTCATAATGAACACAAAGGGAGATCTTTGCCAGATCAGGGAAGCATTATTGACTTTGCAGACTTCATTGCAGCTTGTAGCTTTATCCAACCCTCTTTTTCAGGGCCACAGTTCACTTGGGCTGGTGCTAGGTCCAATGGATGGGTTTGGAGGAAGCTGGATAGATTCCTTCTAAACCCTCAATGGAGTGACTATTATAAACAGATTCAGGTGGATATTCTTGAGAAAACTCCCTCAGATCATTGTCCTATCCTTATTAGATGTTCTACAGAAGATTTCTCAAGGCCAAAATCCTTTAAGTTTCAGAATATGTGGTTACATCATTATACATTTTTTGAAACTGTGAAGAAAAGTTGGACTCAAGATTCTGGTGGGGGAGGTATGAGGGGTTTTGTGTACAAGCTTAAAAGACTGAAAAAGGATCTTAAAGCATGGAATAAAGACACATTTGGCAACATTTTTGAAGATATCAAAGCCTGTGAGGAAAAAGTGCTAGAAGCTGAACACTCCTTTGAATTGAATCCTTCTGGTGAAAATAAGGAAAAGTGGAACCATCTTAGGGCTCTTTTGATTGCCAGATACAAACTCGAAAGAAAATATTGGAAGCAAAAGGCACATATAAGATGGCTCAAAGAGGGAGATGCAAATTCCAAATTTTATCATTCATATGTGAAAGCTAGACATAGAAAACAAGCCATTTATTAAATTACTGACAGGAGGGGGCAAATGATTACTGATCATATGGATATAGGGGAGGCTGCCATTGACTTCTTCTCAAACCTGTACTCTGTGGACCCGGAGATTAATGCTGATGAAGTCCTGCATTTTATACCAAAACTTATCTCAGATGAGGATAATCACATGCTAATGAATCTTCCTTTGGAAGAAGAAATTAAAGGTGCAGTGTGGAATTTAAATCAGAATAGTGCTCCTGGCCTGATGGTTTTAATGGATTTTTTTTTAAAAAAGTGTTGGTCTATTGTGGGGGCTGACCTTGTTAAGGCAGTTCAAGATTTTTTCTTAAGGATGCCTATTCCGCAGGGGGTTTCTAGCAGCTTGGTGGTTTTAATCCCTAAAGTGGATAACCCATATTCTTTTGGTGACTTTAGACCAATTTGCTTGTCAAACTTTATTAGCAAGGTTTGCACCAAGGTTCTTGCTGACAGATTATCTAAAGTTCTTCCTAAGGTTATCTCTTCTGAACAAATAGGCTTTATGAAGGACAAAGATATAGTGGATCATATACTAATTGCCCAAGAAATGATTCATTCTTTAGAGAAGAAGGTCAGGGGGTCCAATGTAATTGTTAAATTGGATATGGCCAAAGCTTTTGATAGATTATCTTGGAAGTTTATTGAAGGTGTCTTACATAGTTTTGGATTTTCCCAGATCTTCATTCAGGTTATCCTAAACAACTTGCAGGCTACTTGTATGTCTATTCTAGTTAATGGAGCACCTACTGTTTTTTTTAAGCCTAAAAGAGGGGTGAAACAGGGAGATCCTATTTCTCCATTTCTCTTTATTTTAGCATCAGAAACTTTTTCTAGAGGGCTGAAGTGGCATTTGGAAAAGGGTTCAATCAAGCCCTACTGGATGGGTTCTACTGGTTATCCTATATCTAATTTAGGATTTGCAGATGACCTTTTGATCTTTCTAAATGGGTGTTCCAGGTCACTGATCAACTTTAATAAATTCCTTAAATCTTACCAGCAGGCATTTGGTCAGTTAATTAATTTGCACAAGAGGTCAAGAGCTCCTTCTTATGTGTTTAATTCCTTAAATCTTACCAGCAGGCTTTGTAGTTCTGTCATTGATGTCACGAGTGAATTACCTAAATATGACTAATTATATGTGTTTAATTTGGTCAATTATACCCAGCCGTAGCTCCAACCACCTTCCACAGTCTTTTGTTCCCGGCGGCCGCCGCTAATCTGCCCCGACTGCCGATATGTTCCTGTCGTCGGTCATCAGAATCCGCTGAAAATTTCCAGAATGGATTTCGGCCAATTTTACACTATCGTCGAAATTAATTAATTAGATTAAGGATATTAAGGGTAGAAAATTAATGTTTAGTCTTATTTGCGAAAGATTTAGATTTTAGTTGCAATTATGTTTATATTAGTCTTATTAAAGTAATTAGTAATTATTTATATTAAGAAGGGAAAATATGGAATAAAAAACCCATTTAGGGAATACAAACATATACACTTTTTTTGGAAGGAAAAAGCTGTATACACTTCTGCGTAGGAATTTTAAGTAACGATATAATCCTATTTATTTATTTAGGCAAATAAAATACTTCGTATAGGTTCACGTGAATCACGTGACATAGTAAAATACTACAACCGGATTGGATAAAAAAAAGGTGTGTACCGGTGCATTCAAAATTTAGGAGTGCACGGTAGAATTTTCCGGTAATCAACTATTGAATATCATCAATTACCATTCCATCTCATAACAAGGATCGGAACAATATTGAAAGAAAGTCATCATAGTTTGTTTTGTTTTTATATATACAAATTAATATAGGGTTATGTGATCGATGGCGTGTTAACTTAGCTTGATATATTGTAATGTGGACTATTTTAGTTTCATATCAAACCAAACCAGATCATACTTCAATAGATCAAACTTAATTATAAACAGATTGGACCAGTGCGTGCTTGAGCAAACTCGAACTCCAGCCTACCTCGATCAAACCGGCTCGTTAAGCAATCAAATCGAGTTTGAGCTCAATTCCTTTTAGGGTTTAGCGAGCCATTGAATACCACCGATCTATGTAGTGCTAACATTTTCATCACTCATACTTCGGTTGGTATTTTTTATTTATGTAACTCCATATATATCACTACTCAATCTGAGTAAGATTGTCCAGGAATATTTTCTCTTAGAAATAAAAAAGCTTCTTTGATCATTAAAATCCATGCATGATGCACATTATCCCTCCTACCCAGCCCATTTATTGCTCGCTGGAAAATGTTGTGAAAATTTTCAAAGGTGGAACAATTTTAATTAACTTAGGGAATAAGACTCAAATACGACTAAGTATGTTTTTACTTGGACTGTAATTTAATTTGCCCCAGACCAGACCAGTCCAGACCAGACCAGACCAGTTCAGACCAGACCAGACCAGACCAGACTTGGATAGTTATAAAAATACAAAGAAACCAGAACTTACCAGACCAAATCAGACCAGTTCAGACCAGACCAGACCAGATCAGATCAGACTAGACCAGATCAGCAAATTACCGTCCAAGTAAAAACATCCTAAAGCAATAAGCTGGAAAGTAAATAGGAGTTGGAAGTTTTTAACTCCTAAATAAGACTTATTTTGAATCGGAAGGGCGAGAATACCCTGGGCCAAAAGTACTCATACCCATCAAATAACTTGCACCACTTTTCAATCGGCCAACAAAGAGATGCGATGCGATGTCCGCTGAGTCTTCGCCGGACAGCCTCTCGTCGCAGATTCGCCGGGCCATTTGTCACTACTGGACCGATGTTCGTCGCCGCCTTGTCGCGAAATTTGCTGGGTCTTCTTCTTCCTTCTCCTTTTTCTTCCTTCTACATTTTTTTTCCGATCTTTGCTGTTTCTTAATTTTTTCCTTATTGCCTGCCTGCCCGGTTTGAGTCTCCACCGATGACCCACCTCTTCCTCCTTTTACAGTTTCTTTATGTCCTGCTGCAGTGCTATGTGAAGTTTTAATTATTTTATTTTTCAATTTCTTTGACATAGTTTCTCTTAATTATGTCCTACTGTCTACGTAACTACATGTTTGTTGGTGTATTACTTTTCAATTTCTTATTTTCTTCTTTGAAAGTTTTAATTTCTAATTTATTGTTACTTTAGGTTTTTTATTTTTTTGTTTGATTTTGCAAGTTCATCTAAACAAAATACTAGGTAATAGATATTGTCATATTAGTAATTTAATGTTAATAACATTATCTATATTTTGATAGATTTTATTGCATTATTGGTCATTGGACAAAAGAAGATCGTTTTTTTAAAACCCGGTAGGAAAACCACTCATCGGTGGGGCAAGCGCCGGGGAACACTTGCCAGGTTTTATTAAAGAATAAATAGAGTACACCGAAGAGAGGAGGGGGATTAGACCAAAACCTCTCTGAGAAGGCATTCCTTCTCAAAATACAACAGTATGAATACGGAAAAATTAAAGCGCACTGGAAACAAAAATAGAAGACATCCAATGGGGGGGGCTATACCTGACCCATTGAAAAAACAACACGAGCAATAAAAAATTAACCCAAAATTCTAAGAATAGGAAGCCCAAAAAGATCCGTAAAATATGCATTTCTTACACAGACTGGTAACGAAGCAGGCTGGGAATAATTAATCTGTTGGGCTTGTTCTTGGGCCGCTAAATGGTGTGCGACCCAATTAGCTTCACGCCAAACTCTGGAATAGGAAACCCTCTTCCCCTCCGACATCAGCAACATTTCTTGAATTTCACTCTGCCATCTACCCTTTCCACCATCCCTGATTATCTTCAAAGCCTCTTCCGAATCCATTTCTACGTGTATGTCTGAAAAACCTTCACTGATAGCCCAAGATAATGCTCGACATATTGTAAGCAGCTCCGCCTCCATAGGAGAAGACGCTTGGACTGGGAAGGAAGTAGCACGGACCAAAAGTCCTTCTTTGTTACGCAGAATCGCACCCCTGCGGCTGATAAAGATGAGTATCTAGCATCCGTGTTCAATTTATATTTCGGATTAGGCTTATTCCATTTGACTACTAGGATTAGCGGTTTTTCTAATCGGAAAGAGCTAGGAATTAACTTTTC